TGGATTCTTGATTCTGTATCTTATTTTTGATTGCAAAAATCGCGCTGTTTTTTTTCCGAAGTAGATAGATATACTCTGAGAATATCTACATTTAAGATGCAGATTATACAATAACAAGTGAGACAGGATATATGTATATGAATCTATAACAATTAATTAGAGAAGATGCCATTTTCGGTCGGATTAGCTCTTGGTAGCTTAATAATTATTTCTGTATAAATTTTGTATACCTTTTTCCAACTCGTTGTCAGTAAACTGCGCGCCGATTATTTATCGGTCTTGAAACACAGAGATTTTTGTTGGGACAGTAAATCCACGTACTTTAAATTGATAATTGAGTTAACTTTTGATGCTAATAAGCATTCTATTTAAATCACGATAAAGAATTTATTGTGGAAAATATCATCCCAGCCAGGGTTTGAACCTGGACCACCCCACAATTCCCCCTAATACAGTTAAAAGTTAAATCGATTATCGATTTAAGTATGTGGATTTACTGTTCCGACAAAAAACTGTGTTTTAAAACCAACAAATAATCGATGCGCAGTTTATTGAGTTGGAAAAATTCAAATTATACAAAATTTACACACAAATATTATTATTAGGCTATCAAGATCCATGCAGCTCGACCGAAAATGGCTTCTCTAATTAATTGCAGATTATAATTATGTATAATTAATATAGTATCAAATGTATAATTAATATAGTATCAAAATAGATTATTCGTGCAAATTTTCTATACAAAACCGCGAAAATATTTGATATTTTTGTAGACTCACACAACTACATAGTTCAGTTAAAGCGAAGCTTTTTAAACTTATTTCTTCAATATTTTGTTCCTTTCTTCGTCGAATATCGTTACATTTGTTGCTCGCGATAGACTCCGACTTTTTCTCTCGGAAAGTTGTGACCTTTCCCCTCTTTCGGCTACTCTTATCTCCCAGAATATCATCAGGTAATTACGAAGCCGCGAGTATTAGTTCGAAAGCGAAATTCTTTCGATGAGGCAATGTTGCCCGGGAACTGCTGGCTTTTGTTGACTCCGACCCGCGTACAATTTACGAGCTTCCGCGGGAGTCGAGGACTTATATCGGAGCGGAAAGAAGATTTTTGTCGAAACGCAAATAAAACTTTTTGATTTAAAAGTTATTATTTTGAAAAAAATTAAAGCTATATAGAGAATAATCCAGCGATTTTTGAAATGATAATTGCAGACGCAATCATCATCTTGTTTCGAACCTTT